TAGGGGTAGGTGGTGGGAAGCGAGGGATACGAGGATGAGAGGAATCAGGAGAGGAGGGGAAGACCTGAGAAAGCACTGCTCCTACAGCGAAGTCTAACGCATCGGTGGTAAGGATAAAAGGGCGATCAAAATCGGGTAGGTGAAGAACCGGTGCGCATGTCACCGCCTTCTTGAGGGCGCGGAAGGCGTCCTCGTGGAGGGGTGTCCAAGCCCAGGGCGGGTTCTTCCGGAGGAGGGTGGAGGTAAGGACGTAGGAATACCTAGCGTATCCCAAGATGAAGTTACTATAGTAGCTGGTCAGGCCTAGGAAGCTCCGAAGCTGCTTGGTGGATGTAGGAGCAGGCCACTCTGCAATAGCAGTGATCTTCGCGTCGTCCATGTGGAGACCCAGGTCAGACACGTAATGTCCTAAGAAGTCCACTTTGTGCTGGGCAAAGCGGCACTTGCTGAGCTTGGCGTAGAAGCCATGTCTGCGCAAGCGGTCAAGGACGTCGCGGAGGTGTCTGAGGTGCTCCTCAAGGGTACGACTGTAGACCAGGATATCGTCGAGGTAAACGAAAACGTATTGCTCCAGGATGTCCCTGAAGATGTCGTTCATCGCCCTCTGGAAGGTGGCGGGTGCGTTGGTGAGGCCGAATGGCATCACCGTAAACTCGTAGTGACCGAAGCGCGATCGGAACGCGGTCTTTGGCTGGTCGGCTGCAGCGACGCGGATCTGATGGTAACCGCTACGAAGATCAATCTTCGTAAAGAAGCGGTTGCCTGCTAGGCGGTCGAACAGCTCATCGGAAYGAGGCATGGGGTAGCTGTTCTTAACCGTGTAGCGGTTGAGACCGCGATAGTCGATGCAGAGACGGAGAGTTCCATCCGCTTTGCGAGCAAAGAGGACGGGTGCACCCCACGGGGAGTTGCTGGGTTTAATGAAACCCTGTCTTAGGAGCTCCTCAAGCTGACGCTTGAGTTCGGTGGCCTCGGGAATCGAGAGTCTGTAGGGTGTCTGGTGGTGAACACGATAGTCAGGCACAAGCTGAATGGAGTGCTCGACGTCACGCATCGGTGGGATGCCGGCGTACGAGAACGACGATGGGAAAACGTCGTGGTACTCTCGGATGAGGTCACAAACTGCGGGCTCCAGGTCATCCGTATATCGTGCGAGTTCCTCAGCGTCAGCATCAGCGCCCGACGGCGGGGTGGACTCGACGGACGGCGGAGGGACGGAAGTAGAGATGGGAGCCATGGAGATAGATGGAGGATCTGGCTTCAGAGGGATGAGTTCGGCGTCGGGACAGGGTGGATCATAGTGTAAGAGATCCATCACGTCCACCATAAAGAAGGTGATGTCGTCCTGTCGAATGAAGTGAGCGAACTGCCGAGGCGAGGTGACAGTGATAGAGGGGGGTGGTGTGGGCACTGAAGGCTCCGGGGGAGGAGGATCGGGGCGTGGTATCGCCGTGGTACCTATGAAAGGTACGCGATACGTCTGTCTACACTTCGTTTTGAGAACGAGAGTGTTGGTCGCCCAATCGGCCTCGGTGCTACGGAACCGACGAGACCATGGAGTGCCGAGAATAAAGTCGTACCTTGTCTCCATCACGTCGAAATGTGCAGAGGAGCGGTGACGACGAGACGCCGGGGAACGATCAGTCGGCTCGAGAGTGAGGAAGAAGGGGAGGTCGGTGACCGTCTGATCAAAGAAGCGCTGGGTCTTGTCATCCCTTAGGGTAACGGAGATGGGAGTCGGAGACCCTGTCGTGGGTAAGCAGGCTTCCTTCACCACGCGTGGGTGAATGAAGTCGCCCTGAGAACCGGAATCCCACAGCGCTGAGAACACCCTCGTGGAGGTCTCGAGTCGTACTGGGATGATCGGGAGGGTGCGATCAGGGTCAGAGAGGATGGCGAAAAGGCGACGCAGTGCAGCGACATGGAGAGTGAGTCGCTCCTGAGAGGCCTGGAGCATGCTCAAGTCCAGAAGAGAGGACACAACGTCCTCGCGAGTAGAAAGCTGCTCGCTGCAACGGGCTGAGCGAATGGCTCGACGCGTCGGTAGTCGCGGCGGGGAAGGAGGGGAGACGGTGGTCTGCGGAGGCGCAGACGGAATTGCGACAGAGGGCTGAGTACACTCCGTAGAGTCCTGCGATACCTCAACTCCAATAGCGAGAGGGGCGAACCGCGACGGAGATGTCGGGAAGCCCACTACTGAGGAGGGCGCACGTGTACACTGCACCGTGGCTAGGAGGCGTCGCGGGGACGTGAGGCGCCGGGGGGGGACTGAGCACGACGCTGACAAGAAAGATCAGCGTAGTGGCGGTCGAGGGCGGTAGTGTAAGGGCATCGCGAGGAGGTATGACCGCCCAAGCGGCAGCGCAAACACCCACGTCGGCCCAGAATAGCCGCGCGCTCCTTAGCGGAAAGGACACCACGAGGAGGGACGAAGCCCGGAGGGAGGTCCTCCTGAGGGACCTCGGGGGGCGACGCGCCAGCGTGACCGGGGCGGCTGCGTGCCCGAGAGAGGGCGGAGAGCGCAAGCTGAAGGCGCTCAGCTGCGGGGAGGGTCGAGTCCTCCAAGTGATAGTGGACGGCCTCGCAGAGATCGAGGTCGTCGCTGTGGTCGCCCTCAGGTGACAGTGGGGCAACAGCGTCCTGCTCACCATACTCCAGCGC